TCAGTGCTTAACACCCAAACTTGGTGACTAATAGTAATATTATGGTAATAGTATAGCAATTAGTATCTAGCATACAATTAGGACACAGCATAAAAGTGCAATAGACAGAGCAAGACTTCTAGCTGTCTCTCCCTGCAGCAACAGAGGAGCAAAGACGTGGAAGAAATGGTGAAAGTTGCTGTTTTATTGCATCTTTCCTTGTTCCTTTATGCTTCAGGGCTGTCTTCTCAAAGTACATCATCACATGGCTTTATTTACTCAGTGCTGAGCTGAACATCTTTTCCCTCCACCACTCACTCTTCTTCTGTACTATTCCCTCTGTTCTTCTGTTTCATCTTTCTCTCTGCGCACCATTCCCCCCTTTCTCGAATCCACAAACAAACACAGACAGAAGTATAGAACAAGGAAAAAATGCAAATCCACAGACAACAGCGAACGCATACAGAACACGGCGTGGGGGGAGCGGTCTGGGATTAGAGAGAACACGAGGAGGAGACAGAACCCGTTAGAGAATTATAATGGAATGAAAAGAAATACAATTCATGAAAGAGTTAGATAAACACACACACACACATCAGAAGAGTACAGGAAGTGTGTGAAGGTGGTTGGCCTCATTAAACTAACAGATAATTCACAACTGACATTTCTGAAATGTTTTTGTCGTCTGCCTGATGGAACAGATGCGCTGACATTGTAATCAATGATTCAACCCACATCGGCTGCACTAGACGCACATCTTACCTCTCTTAAAATGTGAGACCTTCCAATCTGACGTTTTCTTAAACACTGGGTTTAAGCGTAAACTTCATAGACATCCAGTCAAATCACACAGTCTTACTCTTTGTAGCATTCTGAACTACACTCTTGAAAAAAACATGGCTCTTTAAGGGTTCCTTAGTAAAGAAAATGGTTCTATATAGAACTACAAAGACTCAAAGAACCCTTTGCATCATTAAAGGCTTCTTTGTATCGTGAAAGTGTTATTCAGATTGATTGAGAATGCGCTGTAGATATTTCTATATAGAACCTGTTCTAAAATGGTTGAAATGGTTGATTTTCTCAGTGAAAGGTTAAAAGTTGAACGTTAACACATCATCTACAGAGAACACACCTAAATATGACATTTTTCTGGAAATCCTAGTCCACAAGTATATATAGACTCTAAGAAAAAAGGTATGAAACTGTCACTAGGGCAGTATCCCCTCTTGTCACAGGGGTGGAACCCTCAAAGGTACATCTCAGTACCTTTAGTCAGGGAACATATTTGTACCATAATCCATTGATACTATATTTTCTAAGTTGTACTGACTCCACACACCCAGTCTCGTCTCCAGACGTTTTATTTTATTGTTCTGTTTTAAAACATTAGGTTATGAAAAGGTATAAATGTGTACTCTTCACCAGGTTAAAATTTGTTAAAGGTACACACTTGGACCTTTTTTGGAACATTTACATTATTTGTACCGTGATGAACAAAAAACGTACCTGCACAGAACCTTTATTTCTAACAGTGTATCTCACTGTGTTATCACTGTTGCTGCTGTCTCTGTAAATGTTATCACTGTTCTTCTGTCTTTTTTTCTTTGTTTCTTTATTTATTTACTCTCCCACTCTGATATAAGCACATTAACTGCCCTCAATATCAGTGCAGCCCACCCATAAGGCTGAAAAACACCACGTAAGCACCTTTTTAGCACAACCTCAATTTTAAAGGCACATTCAGGTTCTTTCAGAGCTATTTTAGAAATCTGCTTTCTGCACAGTTTTCAAAAGCTCAAAAGCTGCTATACAAGTTTGACCACAGTCGTGACTGTTTTATCACAACTGTCATTTCAGCAGAGTTCAATCCAGAAGCCCAACTGAGAAACCTCCTGCAGTCAGTCACTGTTAGAACACACGACAGGTATAAACAGAAAAAAGCTAAATATAAAAATGACAACTAATAAGACATTACAATCCAACAGACAGAGGTAAGCAGACACAAACATTTGGGTAACAAACAGTGATAGGGCGACCAGCACTTGTCTAACAATAATTACTTCTAAATACTATATACAAATCTGTATTTAATCTCAGTTGATAAAATGGATAGTTCCAGTTCTAAAATTAGATTGGCTGACATTTGACGCTATTGTAAATTGTCGATATGCGAACATATGACCACACACATCAATTGAGTCATTACATATTATGTAAAACTGAATCATTATGTAGACATGCTAAGCATTGTTGACTACATTGCTTTGCCTAACAACATCCCTTAACCCCTTTTTGGTATTGAAACAACACAGGCCCAAGTACATCAACCATGTTCATATGTCCATATTATATATGATGATCAACACTGGATTCTGTCAGAGAGATTATTTAAGAAAAAACACATTTCATGCTGGTTTGAGTGATGGTGTAAGAGCAAACCGAGATCAAGCGTATCAAATTTCTTAGGCGGATCGATATAACGGACGGCGCGGTATTGACATCTCTCCTACAGAAAGAGCTGGCACAGGAAGAGAGAGAAAAAACGAGGTGTCAGGTACAGGTTACTGCTGCACAGTAACCCCAATCTGAACCTGCCAGCAGCCAGCCAACAGAGATGAAAAGATGACGGCAACTGTCAGGAGAGCTGTGAATGTGAATGATGTAAAGTTTGTATGGCAGGTGAATTAGCTTGCAAGAACACCTGTTTTTGAGCTGATCATGGCATTGCTGTCACAGTCATGAACTACTCTACTACTATATAACTACTATATAACTACTATTCAGTCTATGGTCTAGCTGCACATTTACACTGAAGTGATAAAGAGTGTTGTTACTGCAGACATTCTATAGCAGTTATTTGAGCTGTTCCAGGCTGTCAGGTTGATGTCCCTGAGGATTTCTGTTGGAACTTCACAGTTTGATCCACATTTTAGTCTGGACTGTTAATCAAATGAGGCATCAGAGGACAGCCAATGAGAACAGAGGTCATTTACATACAGTCGTATGAAAAAAAGGGACGCACCGGGTCAATTGACACTTATTTTCTAAGTAAAAATAAGTTAATACACTTTCATACCTTTAAATACACCATTATTCTTTATTTGTTGAATTTAATATATTGGGCAAAATATTTTGTTTTTGTTTTGTTTATATAAAATAAAATTTGCTGGAAAAGGCATATTTAAGTGTAAGTAATATTTCCTGTAGAGGATGTGCTAACTTACTTTTTTGACCTGGGGTGTTCAAACTTTAGCATAAGACTGTATATCAGTCTTAAAGGTAGATTAACAAAAACAGCTTATTTAATTGTAAAGGATAATGAAAGTTTGGAAAGTGGACATGTTAAAAAAATGTAAAAATGTTTGTTACATAAATATTATAAGTGGAAAAAAATACTAATTAATAATAAAATCCAGGAAAAATGTAGAACATGGGTCGTTTAAACTCAACTGGCAGTTGGTAAACAGTGCTACAGCAGGCCTGGAGCAGTTGTTATTGAAGTGTCTAGCTCTTACTGAGTAAAAGGAGAAGGAATGGTGATATCAGCATGACACCAGCAGTCGGTCCATAAACCCCGGCATTCCAAGCTACATTTAACACAGCGGCTTTTCAGCATGGAGCCCTTGAACTCTCTATAACTTCTGCTTTGAATTCCTCCAAGAGGCATCTTACAGTATTCAGAAGCCCTAACTACTCAGCTACTAGCACTCTGCTCCAAAATCAACAGCTATACATCAACAAGAGTCCATTACAAAGAACAATTAAACGTTCCCAGTTCATTTTATTTCAACTAGTCAAATAAAAAAAATAAATAAACACAGAGAGGAACAGACACACACACACCTAGCTTTATATCTGCAGTAGTGCTGATTGCAGAATCCAATATGCCAGAACATAACCTATTCATGCCCATCTGCTCATACACACTCGAACAAGAAGCAATCAATTATGCAGTTCTCTTCTCCTCTCACACAGAATACAGAAAGCAGAAGTGGGACAAACGCTGCTCCAGAAACTACATGCAGGCTAAGCTTATGAAGTCATATCACAGAGAAATAGGCCAACTGTGCCATAGCACACAATGTTCTAAAGTACCACACAGAGCCCTAAACTCACTTACAGAACACATGCAGTGTGCATAATTTCCAAATTAATAATTCCTACCTGTTAGTTAAGTCTCCCCCCACCACAGTGTCACCCCTCAGCCTATGTGCAAAGCTATTTGACCCAACCGTCCTAATCCGAGACACAAACAACGAGAACCCAGCATCAAGTGACATAACTGCGCTTATTCTTCGTAGCGCCAGTGCCAGTAAGGTATAATATATAATACAGAATGCATGAAAATCATGTATAATTGTGTGTCTTTCTATTATATATCAGCAGCTTTTATGTAGCCTATATAAAGTAAGTGGACTGTTCTCACATCCAACACAACCCCAGTGTGCTCATTACAGTGCTGAGGGCATTTTCTGAAATTGCTGGACATCAGGTGAAAGAACAGAACTGGCATGATTATCAAGTACATTTACTATCAATACAGTTTAAACTGTTCAATACAGTGTGATTCAATGATTCACAAGTCAACTTTATTTTCACCTCAGTCTTAATCTATAATCATAATGTATTCAGTCTGTTTGGCAAAAATCTTTGCATATAAACACAGCCATTGTGAGGGAGGGTTAAGGCTAGCACATGCTAGCACACTGAGACATGTAAAGTCAGCCTCTGTGTCTTTTTTAAACTGCTGCTAATGCTAAGTCAGCTAACAGACACTTGTATTGGTTAGCATCGTGATGAGTGATGGGAAGAGGGAGGCTGACTATCCTGGCCATGGTTCACTGTGGCATCACCGACTGTAAAGCCAACGCCAGTCAGTGAGCTCAGCAGTGACCTTGGGGTCAGTATGGTTGACTAGGTTTAAAGTCTTCACACCCTAAACACAGCCGCACACGGGGAACATATACACATATACACACACAGTCTTTAGAAATACACAAGGACATGTCTGGTGCACTTACCGCCTGTTGCCACGGTGATCTCCCTCAGAAAATGGCCATAAAAGGGGAAGTCAAACGACAGGTTGACCCGCTGTGAAGGGCAAAAGAAGAAAAAATATGAATCATGGCCAAAGAATTAAGACTGGTGTCATTTAATGGAGATTTTGATACCTAAGCAGAGAGAAGAAGGTAGAGAGAAAGAGAGAGAGACTGACAGAGCAGCTAATTGAAAAGGCAGGATAAGCCTTCATATCCGTCCAGTTGAGCAATTCTACAGTCAGCCAGTGCAAACTTCAGAGTAAATGCTCAGATTTGACTTTGTTCAGTGGCTGAGGTGAGCATGTCCGCTGTGGTTTCTCTTGTTTGCTGAGGATAATGTACTTAGCATGGTGGATACTGCAATACGCTGCTATAATGCTATAATGTTAATGCACTGCAGTGAATCAACTTCTTTCTCCATTACAGTAAATGAGGACACTCTGACACAGAGCTGTTTTACACTAAGTACACGTCTATCTCTGCCTGAGACTGAGGAAGTAGACGAATCATGCCGAAACTGAGAAAACGCTGCTGTATACAAACCCAGTATGAGAGTAAGAGAGCAGTAAGGATGTTCTGATACTGATATTTTTATACATTCCTGTATTATTTGAGGAAATATGTGTGGTGCTTATGTGCTCGTCCTCCTTTTAGATGTGCTGTTGATGTATGTGTGTTATCTGGTGTGAGCAGGGTGGGGTAAAGGTGTGCTAAATTGTGGCTGCTGAAATTGTGAGCAGCATATACGTCATGTATGCTGATACATTATGCAAAAATAATCTTTTTGATTTTTTGAAATTTGAATTTTTTGGATAATTTACATCAACTATGTCATAATGTGCTATGATGAGACAAGAAATGACGACATACATATACAACCGACACAATAAACCACTGATGCACACGCTGCTCTACCCACTCAATGCTAAATTTATGCAAATGAGCCAATCAGCAACCAATAAGATTGCAATCTAAACCAATAAGAAAGCAATCTTACTGGTTGCTGATTGGCTCATTTGCATACATTTCGGTAACTGATGGTGTTGCACGCACAGTCACACGCTGAGATTCAACACTCTAACCCAGGGTTTCTCCACCACCAGGCTGTGAAGCACCCTCTGGTGGTCCTTGGTCTAATACTGAGGGTGTGTGAGTGGTCCGAAGGTGGCACTTTGTAATAAAAAACAATGAACAAAAGTAATTGGCTATTGTTTTCAAATAATATACAATATAAATACAAGCTCTGCAACAAAGATGCACAAAGCAGCTTCAACTATTGTTGGCCAGTTGACACAAATTACACTCAGCTGTCCACGTCCACCACTGTCCAATCGTAAGTGTAAAAAAGCATTTAAAAAATACAAAGCAGAAACATTCTGCTTAATTTACCACCATTCTGCCTGATTTCTAGCATAAAACGAGCATAAGTTATCCTAATCTGTTGATATTCTCTGTTCAATGGCATGGGACTAGGCAGGCAAACATTGCTATGTTGAAAACTTCCGAAAATTTTTAAGCAAAAAACTTTTGTTGGGTTCTGCTTTTCTTTGGGCCTTCAAGTGAAAAATGGATGGGCCTTTTGGTGGAAAAAGCTGAGGACCCCTGCTCTAATGCACACCCTGTGGGAGATATATTGATTGAAAAAAAAAAAACATATGCCTTGAAAATGTGTGATTGTAACATTAGATTATTTTTTAAACTTTTGAAAGCAATGTTAGGCCATTAATATTACTAATGTTTCAGTGAAACATCCCTAGACTGGCCAACAGCTGCTGAGGGAAGCGACTCAGCTCGCTGTAATGAAAATGCAGGGGCAACTATGTTTGGGAAGTGTGCCGGTATGAAAGAAACCAGTACGATGTCCCTTCATGATATGGATTTTGCCAAACTGTGGTACTGTCTGTGATAAGCCCAACGACGGTGCATAAGCGTGAACTGTTCAAATTACACTTATAAACTCAACAGGAGTTTTTTTTAGGAAAACTTCACCTCTATATGCCACTTGCAGTCGCTCCTATGTTAATCAGGGCACATGCCCAAAGTGAGTGTATTGTTGGGTGCCTGTCACATACATGGAGCATCACAAAAATGTTCCGTTTCGCTGGCCATGGAGGCAACTTGGCGAGGGTTTCCATTTTTACTTTGTTGTTTCACTGCTGGACAAAACAAATTTAACACAACTGTTAAGCATGACGAAGAACGAATCAACTTGTAAAACCCATCCAAATAGTGTGGAGTAAACATACTGTGATAACTTCACTTAGCAAGCCTGGTACAGGGAGCTGCCTTTGTTAGATGAGGCAAGCAGTGAAATATTATTTTAGACAACAACCATGAGGTGCAAAATGGTATCGAGGATGAGTGAAGAAGTAAAAACAAACCTGAGGGACTTCAAGAAGCTACTAGCGTGTGTGTCAGTGTGTGCACAATGCAGAATATGCTTTAGTCAAAAACTTTTTTTTATTGATTTTTGAATGGCTTCCTGTAATAATAATAACAGCAATGGCAATAGTAACAATCATAATAGTACACTAATTTAATAACACATTTATTACTAAATAATAATTATTATGACAGTGTTGTCTTTATTATTGTTATTATTATTGATTCTATTATAAATCTTTCATTTTTGTTTGATTTCATGATATATATTGTTATTGTCCAATGAGTAGAAAATACCATGATATAATTTTGAGCTCATATCGCCCACCCCAGTGTTAAATTACACAGTACATGGCTATTGCAGATTTATAAATAACACATAGACAAAGTAAACCTTAAAATAGGCACAAAGTGATCTTTACCACACTCACTTTGTTTTAAAGTTCTTTTACTCGCTATTATAGAACTGAGGATAATCTATATTAGACCTGCATCACACATTACAAATAAAAACACTTCCACAGAGGACGCACATGTGTAGCATCTCTCTAGAAGCCTCTTCTGTTCTCGATTCCTCCAAGTGAGTGTAAAAAATTGATAGGTCCATAAAGATGGTGGTTTATAATCAGTTTCATAGGCTGAAACGTGGAAGACAGAAGAATTGAGAAACCATTCATTGGAGTTTTGAGATCCACTCCTGATCCACTCTGTGTTGTTGCCATAATTTAGTACCGAGACCCACGAGGACCACACTCATAAGGAAATGGATATGAGTTAAATTAAAAACACAATTTGATTCAGCAGAGGAGAATTCAGCGCTGCCAAAAGGACATTCATATTTAACTTATTTGGCCGAAAAAATGCTTATGAAAGCAATGCAGCGATCATAACTTTTTATGGCACATTCTAAGTAAATTACAGCCAAACTGCCTGATGGCCAATTTTCTGGCTGATATTTATTTGCCTTTTTTTAATCCAAAGCTCACACAGTATGGGGTGAACGAACACAAGAACCACACTAAGACACTTCCAGAACTTAATTCTATCCAAACTTGCAATTTAAACAACATTGTTTGCTTTTTAATGAGTCAAACAGACTTTTATTTTTTCAATCAGTCAGTGGCCTAATTAAATAAGACGAATCACGAAGTAAGACGAAGTGACCCACCGAAAGTAAGAGGCAGCTGGCAGTTTAGCACAAAGAATAATTATTCTACTGGTTAAAGTGTTGCAGCAGCATTCAAATACAGCGCTAGTGTTCTTACTTTCCTCACGTTATTTACATCATAAAATTGCAACATGGACCTCCTCATGTAATAACAACAAATTGGCTGATTTCTAATTTCGTATTATGAGCGAAAATCTGCTGATTCGCATTCTTCAGATCATGCATTCCTGGCTTATATTATATATAAAATCTTCTATGTACAGAAAGAGTTTTTAGATTAAACCGGAGAAGTCTAATATCATGTTATCACAGCGTGAGAACAGATTAGTGTGGAACGTTTATTCAGACTTACAATGTTTGGGATCTTCCTTAAAAGCACTGCTTGATAAATAAATTTATTAAAGCGGAAACTAAACTTAACTTTTTACAGCTGATTGTTTATATAATATTTATTTTACATTATTTTTCATGTTATCCGTGATTTAAGAAAAAAACTGTTATTGCTGCAATATGGAAATTTACCAGTCTTTGTCATTAAAATGTGAGGTTTTATTCTGCACTTTGGGTGAGGAGCCAATTCAGATCACTTTTAGACAGAATTTTGTCAATCTTGGGTCAGTTTAAGACTCAAAACTTGACAATATGTTTCGGGGTGGGCTCTGGACGCAAAACTTGCTGTGGTTTGGGTCAGACTCCGATTGGGTTCGGGCCAGGCTTGGGTCGGGTTTGGGGCAGGCTCAGGTCAGGTTCAGATTGAGCCCAGGTCAGGCTTGAGTCGGGTTCGGGTCAGGCTCAGATTGGGTCTGGGTCAGGCTCGGGTTGGGTTCGGGTTAGGGTTAGTTCGGGTTCAGGTTGGGTTTGGGTCAGGCTCGGGTCGGGGTTCAAGTCAGGCTCGGGTCAGGTTCAGTTTGGATTTGGGTCAGGTCCTGGTTCAGTTCATGTTCAGGTCAGGCTTGGGTCGAGTTCTGGTCAGGTTCATGTCAGGCTCAGGTCGAGTTCGGGTCAGGCTCGGGCCAGGTTCAAGTCAGGCTCGGGTCAGGTTCAGGTTGGGTTTGGGTCAGGCTCGGGTCGGGTTCGGAACAGGCTCGGGTCGGGTTCGGAACAGGCTCGGGTCAGGTTCGGTTCACGCTCGGGTCTGGTTCGGGTCGGGTTACTAGTCAGGCAGAAAGTTCTCAGGCTGGATTCAGGTTCCACCCAAATTTTCAACCTTGATTACAGTTCCAGTGTAGTTGCTGCTGTATGTGTGTCATGTGTGTTGTGTATAGTTGTATACAAATCTGTGTGTGTGTGTGCTTACCGCTGCTTGTCTGTGTGTGTTGGACAAGATTCCGTGGATCTTCACTTTCTCCTTGTCCATCTGATCGATGTTTACCCATAATTCTTTGCTCATGGGGTCGTTGGGGCCGTAGGTTTTAGACGTGTAGTAGTTGTGGTCTGTGTCCTCCTGCAGAGAGAGAAACACAGATGCTCACCCGCACATAATCAGCAATAAGCAGTGCTCCCACAACTACAGCACGCACTGCGTGTGCTTCCCTGCTCAGTTCAGCAGAGTCGGGAGTTGAAATGGAGCAGAAATGTGGAGCATAATGGGGATCTTTGAGGATAAAAAAGGAGTCAAAACTAAGGGTTCTGACTATTCTGACTAATTTTAATATTGTCAGCAATGAGAGGAGACCGAATGCAAATGCAAGACATTATTGAAATCAATAGAAAATCAGACAGTCCAGAAAAGTTACCAGCAAACAGACTGCTGTAGAGCAGACAGGCTCAAAATCAATATAACAGAAAAGTACATCGAAACCAGAAGAAAACGCAGCACAAACTTTAAACAAACAGCTCACAGCTCACACTAGGATGGCAGACACTTGGCAAACTGAGGCAGCACACTGAGAGGTAATGAAGACAAAGAGTTAATGAGTCCTATTAGCCAGAGAGGGAGAGCGGAGCCAGTGAGCAATTGGCCGAGACGCCCAACGCTGAGAAGAGGTGGAGCTAAAACTATAGCTAACCAGTACAACACTGGATGCTGATAAGAACTTGTTGTATTCTTCCAATGCTTTTTCTCAGATCTGATCTTTTTAACGTTATGGTTCATATTCATGTACATATGGGACTCAAACTTGCATCCTGAAACCACCCACATGCACACATCCTCAATAATGTCACATGAATGAACAATGTGCATCATGAACAACAAACAAACCAACTAGCAGACCAGGCCTTTGTGGAGAAATAATCTGTTCTGAACAGCTATCAGCTGTTCATTATTAAAGCAAGATGAAGGCGAAAAGAGTGCATTTATACGGTTTGCTGGCACAATTTAAGGTGAGGTGCTGCTGCCATGTTAACTTTGAATGCTGGCACATGTGCCAGACATGAATTCCGATCTGAGCATTGTCATTAAGATGGCATGGCCATGAATTGGATAGGTATCAGATCTAGGACCACATATGAAAGTGGCTCAGATCTGCTTTAAAAAGATCAGATCAGTGTTACAAGGCAAAAAAATCATAATCTGGTAATGTGGTTTTACAGTTTCTGCACCTAGCTTACATCAGCTAGCCACACCAGGTATTCACCTTCCTTTACAATGCGCGTCCCTAGCACATGCTCACATTAAAACCCTCCTTTCATTGTAGCAAAGTCTAACATAACACATTTGCGTCCTCGCAAAATATGAGCAGACATGCAACATTTTATTGTACAGATAATACATAAAATTGTCGTTTGACTGAATTGTGGCCCTGCATAATTTCTTCATCTTCCTGTGATGAAACATAATGAATAGCCAAATACTGGTCCTTCTAAGGGTCAACCGAGCACTCGAGTACCCATGCACATCCACAGAACTGCCTTCAGAGGCAGAAATAAGGCAGGAGGTCTGGCTACAACTGCATGAAACTGACAATATACCTCACTGTAATTATACTGCAACATATTGCGTTATACTTTCCAATATACTAAAAACACAGTAGTCAATGCTTGTTGTCACATGCATTTTTGTTTTGGACCAAAAAATTTACATTTATTGGATCATGTAAATGCCTTGAGTCATATGAACATGTGTACTTGTGTGACTAGTCAGGCTTCTCACACTAGAACATTCAGTAAGGACCCTTTAACCCTTTAACAGTTATTTACTAATACTTTGGCTATACTTTGCAGCACTAATGCTCATCAAATTACTCCTTGCTGTGAAGAGCAGTTATTGCCTCAATACTGACTGGTCAGCTTCCTGTTCCAATCTTTGCTAAAAGCACACATTGAAAATCTTTTCATCCGAAGGTGGTTTAAACAGCTGGCAGATCTGAGTGCTGTTGAGTGACATCACAACAACATAATATAATGTGTTACAACATTGTTTTCAAGGTAGGGGGTTTGTAAGTGTTTCTTTTAGTTCAGCAGTTTCTGCAAGCTGAGAAAAGGAATATACTCATTTGTATTGGGAAAGCACTGGGAAAAGGTCCTCAGTCAACTTTTGATGGGCAGCATACAGGCAAGCGCACTCTTTCTCTAAGTCCAGCACAAACACAGGCCTGTTCTGTCCAGTCCATCTCTGTTTGTTTTTTGTTGTCTGGGCATTTGTGAGGCTGGCCATATGTTTAGCAGAGGCTTTCTGTGAAGTGAAATGACTTCAGCATTGATCAGCAGCAGCTGTGGGGGCACTCAATGTTTGGAAATGTTCAGACAACAGAAGGAGCCAGCTGGATCATCTTAACACCGCTTCCCTTCCACCAAGAGAGAAAAGAGCCAGAGAAAACCTCTCAGAGCAAGACCCAGTGAAGGAGAGGGTGGAGAAACAGAGAGAGAGAGAGGCGCTGAGAAAGAAATAGACCAATGTTGGAAGAAATGTTAAAACAAATAATTAAATTTACACAAATTTCCCCCTTTCCCCAAATGTGTTCATCAAATCAGCCAATACATGTGCGATGTCTGACGTTTGCTCCTTTAGTTTTACACTGGAGCTATGAGTCTAATGTAGCTAACAAGTAATGGAAGCTTATATCCACCAAACATGCCAAATAGATTAGTTTAAAGGTGCAGTGTGTAAGATTAGGGGGATCTATTGGCAGAAATGGAATATAGTATACAAAACCATGTGTTCATTAGTGTATCATCACCTCTAACTACTAATCATTGTGTTTTCATTAGTATAGAATGAGCCTTTCATGTCTACATACGGAGCAGGTGCTCTACCATCAGAGGCCTCCATGTTGCACAGTCATGTTCATACAGTAGCCCAGAATGGACAAACCAAACCCTAACTCTAGAGAGTTTTTACGCTGAAGCAGCAGCTCATAATTGGAGGTGCTATAGCACCGGCTGGAAGATGTAAAAAGAAGAAGAATCAGTGGTTGCTGCTAGTGCTGGCTGACCATTTTGTGTTGTGAGAAGTTTGAGAAACCAAATTTGCACAAATAAGAGGATCATACTTATTATTCAGCACGAGAAAAAGCAAAGAACCACTGTAGCTTTTGCTACATGCTTGGACAGGAATGGGTATTCAGTTATTTGCAATCTGCAACTGCACCACTAGATGCCACTAAATCTTACACACTGCACCTTTAACCATTTAAGGATGAGGCCAAATAGGTGCCTCTTTATGCTGTTTAATCCACTCTTCTCCATTAACAATACATAGATTTCTTTTGCTTTTGCACATTTATTTTACATATAAAATCATAAAAAAATCACAAATTACCTTTTTGAACAAGAAGACACATGAACAGACATATAGGTCACACGTCAATTGCATGTCAATGGTTCCCTGATTAAACAATTGATAAATAAGTGGTCTTCCTATGCGGCCCATTCCTAAGTTCACTTATGTCACTCCACTGCTGTGTTCCCTTCACTGGCTTAATGTAGCTGTCCGCATCAGATTTAAAGCACTGATGCTTGCCTGCAAAGCAAAAATGGACCAGCCCTCCTTACCTGATAGCAAAGGTCAAAACCTGATCTGTATCCCGAGCCCTTAGTGCTTCAAGTATAGCTCAGCTTGACCCGCCATCCATCAAGTTATGTGGAACACAAGCACCAAGCCTCTTCTCTGTCCTGTTACAATCTTCCATGAGTCTCTAGCCATCGTTAAATGCTGACTGAAAACCCATCTCTTTGTCAAGCCTTTAAATGAACACTAATCTAGCACTTGACAAGACACAAAATGTATTGTATTACACTTATGATTACTTAACAATTGAGCAGCTTTACATGGTTTGAGGCCAGTATGTGATAACTGAGGCATGCAGTTAGTCACAGTGCTGATTGGTTTACATACAGTAATTGTCCATTACTTGTTAGCCACATTAGCTTTGTAGCTCCAGTGCAAAACTACAGAAGCTCAGAAAACAAATGTGTTTTTGCTTAATGATGACATCTGAAATAAGGGGGAACTGAATTTGATTTATTGAATTATGTGTGTGTGCATGTGTGTGAGTGCAGGTGCATATGTGTATATGAGAAGTGTGTCACTGGAGTCTGAATAGCAGACACTTCATCACACAACAGTAACGTCTTACATAAACATCACATTACATTAACTCAATCTAACAAAACCAGAGACCAATAATAGAAAAGGACATAGAGTCGAGCATCTGAGAAGTTAGCGCTCAACTCAAATACAAGACGTATCTACAACAGAAAGCATTCATGCGCCTCAGGGAAGAGAGGAAAAAAAACCCCCCAAAAAACTAATGAAACTCCAGTCTGCAGTCGAGTTCTGTGCAGTGGCAAACAGCCCCGGATTCACAAGCTCCATTTGTGTAAGTGAGATTGGCTGTGGCAGTGGCATCAATATTGCATTAGCGGGCTAGCTGTATGTTTTTTATCTCTCCGCTCTGTCTGGGCTTTTTCTACCTTCTGTCTGTTTCTGAGGAGCAGAACACACTGACAGAATCAGCTGAGATGTTGCAATGAGAAGGGAGCCCTGTTTTTGAGTAGATGATAATGTGAAGAACAAGCTGAGATACATTTCCACATAGCTGATATCTTCAAATACATTACTAAATATTAAATTTCACAGTCATACAATGCTCATGCACTGCCTCTCGAAAACTTTGGGAATACCTGGCCTTCTTCTGAAAAAAATAGTTTTTAGTAAAGTGAGATGTAAATACCTAAAATTTTGTAATAAAAATTTTTACTGGTATGGTATTTTTACTCCTGAGGTCTGTTTATGATGTTTCTGTGGTTTTATCTATCAAAAAACAGTCATATGATAATTTAACATCCTCTGTTTAGCCCTTAGAATTGAACAGCCTGATTCTGTTACTGTGCCTTTAAGAATGATACGTGTAAATTTCTGATCGGCTGACCTCTTTTGACCTAAACAAAAAGTCGTCTGGACTGAAATGTCGAACAAACTGTTAGGTTTCAACTGAAATCCTCAAACACACCAGCCTGACAGCCTAGAACAGCTCCAATAACTGTGTCTGCAGTAACAAC